CAGGGCAACGAGCTGAGTCTTCATCTGGAAGATCCACGGCCCATTGCTCTGATGGAAGCGTTCATGGAGATCCAACCAAATCTCAGCAGCAGTATCAATATAAAGGAGGCTATCTGCTATGTCTCGACTTACAACGTTCAGGATCTAGGAAATCACCATGCTGTTGCAGCGTATCCACACACCCGAGAGGAGGTCGTCGGTTTCAGGCCGTGGTATGCTCCCATCGACGAACCCGATTTTGTTCTTGGCAGTCAAAGCCATAATCATGGCTCAGCTCCAGGTGTTGTAATTGGATCCAATGAGAGGGTTGGAAACCAAAACAATGCCTGGGTGATCTCCATTGTGTAGGAAATAGGGACTTGCTGAATCCTCCATGGCTGACGGAGCGGAGGACCCAACAACCACTCGATTGCCTGAATTTCCACCGGCCCTAGTCATTCAGACGGATAAAATTTCTAGAGATTGGCAGAGGGTTACCGCTCTAATAGCATATTACAAGAAAAAAGAAAAGGGCAAAAAGAAATCTGCAGAATGAAGCATTTCTGTATAGCTTGAAAATGGAAAAACTCGAGAGGTGGTCCTTATACACTGGAAACGAAGGGGACTGAGGTTTGTTGCAACAAACCTCCAGCTCAGTAGCAGAAAAAACAAAATAAGAAACTAGCTACCTACTTAAACTTATTTACAAAATCAATAACTAACTATCACTTATTTACAGTCTCAACCCAAAACTCTTAATATGTACACTTTTGGTCGTCTAAAACGCAACATTTCGGATTTCTTTTACGTACTTTTGTTTTGTTTTTTTTTTTTGCCTTTACAGATTTTCTTTTTTTTTCTTTTTTCTTTTTTCCCCCAAAATTTTATATTTTTCGTTCTTTCCTTTCTCTTTAACTTTTTCTTTTCATTTATCTTAATTTTTTTTTTTTCAAATGTTAACCTTTAGATATTTCTTTTAAGTAGTACTCTAAAATATTATTATATTAAAAATCATTCTCAAAAATTTCTTTCTAATTATCTTGCTAAATAAATTTCTAATAATATGCTCCTACTTAATTTTTTTTCGCGGGCTTTTCAACTTCTGCTATCCTACATATATAAAATAGTCATCATTATTTTACTTTTTTTTAATTGTCTAGAACCCGTCATTTTGACTCCTTTTTTTGTTTTTGTTTTGTTTTTGGCTTTCACCTTTTTTTTTGTTTCTCTTTTTTAATTATTTTTTTCTTTTCAAACACTTGAAATAAAAGAAATAATGTAGATTATGGACTTTAATATGTTACTTTTTTTTCACTTTTTATCGCAATTATGATGTTAAATCCTATTTTATCCAAATAGTAACCGTAGAAAATATTAGGGGTGTAAATCGGCCGGGTAGGGTAGGGTTGAGCTGAAAAATTGAGCCTACCCGACTAGTGCGGGTTGAGAAAATTTTGGGCCGCGACACTCTCTTAAGTCTACAAACCCGCAACCTTTCGGGTGACCTCGGGTAGGGTCGGGTTACTCGGGTTGGTGAAAATTAATTTTAATCTATGACTTCATCAATTTTAATCTAAGAGGCTCTTATATGCAAATAAATGATAGAATACTATTGTAGTAAATGAGCAATAAATGATATATGCAAATACTATTGTAGTAAATAATTACGCAACAAAATTGCGACATAATAAAATATAAAGACTAATAACTCATATCACAATATGCATAAAGCAAGAGTGATCTCAAGGACCACATGATTACTTTTTAGTCAATTAATCTGTGCTTGTTACAGAAGAAATCATTATCAAACAGAACATGTCTTTCTTTCAATAGGGGGTCTAAATGCAATGTGAACAATTAAAACACTCACTTTGAAATCAAACACTTTCAATATAAATAAAGAATGTCCTAATTAAACACCTATGGCATACAAGTATTTTTTACACAAACCGTGAATCCAAAACATAAATAAGTTAACAGTTTAAAAGCATAAAGTCCATAAACTTATGAAAGTAAGAATTTGAAGTGTTGGACATTGTTTTACCTACTTTGAACATGTTCGGCCGGGTAGGGTTACCTCGGGTTCATGTAACCCCACCCCGCGCTCCTACCCACACAGTGCGGGTTAGGTATAATTAAAACTGAAAATTAAATAAAAAATTAAAAACCCGTGATTTTCGGGTAAGGTCGGCTCGGCTCGGCCGGGTTCGTCGGGTCCGGGGTGATTTCTTACAGCCCTAGAAAATATAAAAGAGTGGGTGAAAAATATACCGCTATTTTTTTGTAGTCATTTACGCACCATTTTGATGCCTCTTTTTTTTTTTTTTTCCTTTTCTTTCCCCTCTCTTTCTCTCTCTTCTTTGCTTTTTTTTTTTAATCTTTTCTTTTAACTCTTTTTTTTTTTAAATGGAGAATTTATCTTTGAGAGTGCATGAGTCTAGATATTTACTTCTTACTCTTAATAAATATCTCTTTATTAGTGTAATAATTTAAAAATGTTATGAATCTAAAATAAAAGTTAAAAATCCTGAATATTTTTTTCCTTTTATTTTACATAACCTTTTAAGTGCTTTATCTTTTCTAATGCTTTTATTTATTTATTTTTATTTTCCACAGGTGTTAAATCTTAAATCCTAATCCTAATTCTATCTAAGTATATAAACAAGTAGACATTTGGCCGTTCTTCATCCTGTCGGTACTTTAAACAATGAGTTTTAAAGTTTTAACTCTTATTTTTTTATTTTATTATTTCATAATCTATGTTCATCTGAGGATGGTTCAAAGCGGAAATTTTTTAGATGTTTTACTTTTTTACTTTCATTTTTAAGTTTAAACTCTTTTATTTATTTATTTTTTACTTTGTTATCTTAAATTTAGAATGTTTTATGTATTTCTATGATTAAACATAACTTTTTCACTTAAACTACTATCACTATAAACTTCTTAAAAAAAAGTGTGGAGATTCAAACTCTACATTTTGTGGTGAAATTAAGGGGTTGTTCTTTTAGAGTGTAATTTGAGTGTAATTTTTGAGTTGAATTTAAGTTATAACTTAAGTTGAAGTTGTAACTTGAATAAAGTTGATTAAAGTTGAATAAAGTTGAAACTTAAAAGAACATGAACTTGAATAAAGTTAAAACTTGAGTTGTCTTTTTTTGAGTTTTTTAGACAAAAGAACAACCCCTAAGTGTGTAAACTCTGTTAGAACAAGCATACTACCACTTAATGTATGCTCTTTTTTTTTATCTTAAAGTAAAATTTTCATCTGGCTTTTTTCTTACTTATTGTTGTCTGTATTTTATATTATTAAAACCTCAATTATAACTAAATACGTGATTGCACGTACCAAGATTAGTTTCTAGTGAAAAAGAGAAATGCTTAATTAAGGAATGAATCAAGAATATATAAAGCAATTAGAACAGAGGGTGATTGTTCCAAAAAAAAATAAAAAATACATGCGGTGAAACAGGATTAAAGAATGAAATAGAAGCGAAAGCAATTACAGAGTTGATATGATTAATGTACCAAAAAACAGCATGCGGTGATAAATAATTAAAGAGTGAATTAGAGCAAAGCGATTATATTTAGAGAATTGATGATTGTACCAAAAAAAAGTAAAAATAAAGCTAGAAATGCAATCGGTGTATATATATATATATATATATATTATACACACATATATATATATATATATATTTTTGCTTTGAAAAAAAAATTGCAATCGGTGTACATAATTTACCTTGAAATTTGAGAACCGCTAACAAGGGGAAGATGAGATCAAAGCGAGAAGATCATTATCATCACATTTGGACAAACGCCGATCAGAGTACTTACGTACGTACGTACAACTGGACTAGCTATACGTACCTAGCTAATATAAAACGGGTGTAAGAAACGACACCTAAAGACGCCTATGAGAGGGCGTCGTATACACTAAACACCGTTAATTAATCACCATAATTATGATAATAAATCCCCTTGGCTGTGGAAAAGCACAAGGTTCGTTCAGGTCAAACCTCAAGTACCACTTTTTGCCAAGCCTTATCCGGTGCCAATTGTGCCTCTCTTTCTAACTTTTTTATGGCTTTATTCGGTGCCAAATGTTTTGGATCTCAGACTATATATCTCAGCCGGCGCTGAATCAGTAAATTGGATCAATTTCTCGTCAGCCATTTACTTCGTTTTCCTTGTCCACTAAGCAACCTTCCTCCCCAAGCTGAAAGTACAACCAGGAAATCGTGGCATACAAATGCCCTACTTTTGTTGTTTTCTCGCTTTCAGTGTGACTCACCAACACAAAAATGCATGTGTGTGTGTGTATATATATACATATTGTGTGTGTATATGTGTACAAACACACCTGTAAATGTATTCCTCCTCAAGGGTGTATCTTCAGAATAGGACTGTTTATATATATATATATATGTATATATATGATATATGTGTTTATATATGATATATGTGAACTAACTCTTCATAAATAATAAAACTGACCATTCTGGTTGATTTATTGTCTCCTTTCTTTTGTGTAGCTAGATGACGTTAAGGAGACTGATAAGAGAGTCTCGCGGATGGTAAATCTTAGTACCACTTTGCATGGTTTTGCCAAATCTGATCTGCATATCGCTTTGACCCTGTCAAAACAAGTAGGTATACACTTTATGAGCTAATTTGGACTTTCAATATTTGAACTAATTAATGTTAAACGCTAGCTACCTCGTTTTCTTCCATCTTTCTTTCTGCTTCTAATTCCTTGTAACACGTTTGCCTGCAAAAAATGAAGAAAGAACTGAAGAAGAGTAACATCATGACAACATAAGGATACAACCTCACCTCAAGTACTTTCTAGCCATTCTGTTATTTAATAATAACAATTATAATTAGTAGATGCATTAAGATGAGTTATATTGCTCAGATGAGCAAATTAAGTTACAAACACGAATTAGTAATATAATACATACTTGCAATGTATGCTAGAGAGTCACTCTAACATAGACTTTAGCATTAATATTGGTACCAAATTAGAGTAGAAGCATTTTATGGCAGTAGGGGAAACGCTTGCTAGCGCTTAGCTTATTTCTGATGGACCATATTGCAATACATTTTCTTAAGGTTGTTCGAAAGGTTGGCTTCGTGGCTGGTGTTAGAAGTGATAAGGACATATTTCATGGTCTACATGTGAAGCAGATGAAGCGTTGGATGTTGCGGCGATTGAGACGAAAAATCGTTATCTTCATCAATCCTTATCACCGGCTGGTTATTGTTATTGTTATTGTTATTGTTGTTGTCATTGTCATTGATTCCAGCTTCCATTGCTGCAATCTGAACGTAGAAACTTCACATTAGTATAATGTTGGCTTCGAATATTCATTTTTAGTATATGCCATTTGCATATGGCTATGTATATGTGTCTCTGTGTGTCTGTTCTTTTACCTTTTTTTGTAGCTGCTCCCTTTCTTCTTTCAGCATCTTTTCCTATTCGGGAGAAAAAGAAAGAAAACAAAAATTAGTGCAAGTGTATAACAATTCTGTAATCAGAAAGCTTGAAATCATGGTATTTTGCCATTTTCCACTAGGTTCTTTTTCTCCTCTCGCTCTGTTTTCCCATTGTCCACAATACCAGTGATGCAGCTACTAGTATATACTGGAAATTCTAAAATTATTCCCTTTAAGGTGGAGAAAACACACCGTCTCAGAGTGACATATTTGTATACCTACGGTAACCAGAAGCTTTAATTTCTAGTTCATGCCTTCATGCTACTGATTTTGTTAGGATCCTGGTTGAGTCCCACATTGTTAAAGTATGGGTTTAACATGTGGGTTTATAACCACTTAGGCACCCTCTCTCTACAAGTTAACTTTTAGGGATAAGTTCTACCCAAGGGTTATAACAATTGGTATCAGAGCATGCCCAACCTCAGGCCCACATTGCGGAAGGGCCGACCTTGGGAGGGGTGACCTAGAAAGGCTAGAGTGGGCCATCCAGAGTGGGCCGCCGTGGACATCGATTTTGGAAGCGTGGTGGTATGTTAGGATCCTGGTTGAGTACTACATTACTAAAGTATGAGCTTAGCATGTGAGTTTATAACCACTTAGGCACCTTCTCCTTACAAACTAGCTTTTGGGGATGAGTTCTACCCAAGGATAGAGACCCTGTCTATGATCAGAGCAGAACAGTGATTTTTACTTGGAAGAATCGGCTACCAGGTTTCCATAACTGTTAGGGAAGAAAAGATCAACACTTGTTCGCCTTTGTAGCCAAAAATCAATTCATAGAGGTTTGTTTAAAGCTTTTTTAGGTACGAAGAATTACGAGTTTTAGGAAGACAAGAGGAAGTAATTGTTTATTCAAGTAGTTTTTTGGTTTCATTACCTGGTCCTGCAGGAAAACTATTGATTCCATCATGAATTGTGTCTGCACATGAAAATACTACATGAGTATACCAAATAAGCTCACTTTGTAGTTAACACATTCAAGCGGCACAGAAAGTGTTGCTGCCCTGGCAGTTGAACATGATGCATACAGTTATGTCTGATTACTCATTAGAATGGGAATCTTGCTAAAGATTTTCAGAAAACAGAACAATATTATCAGTTTTGGCCAGCATAAGAATTGTCTATCCCTTCCCATAGAATTAAGGAGACAGCAATAGACATCTTAGTCACTAAGGCATGTTCAGTAGTCGATGAACCCGTTTTCCACTCTCACTGCAGATGACACTGATATTTAGGCGTATCGAACGGTGATCTTATATCAGTATATTAGAAAATGTAGCGGTATAACCGTACAAGTATGTGTAAAATCTGGTATAGCAATTAGCGAGATTAGAAGAAAAAACCACAAGTTTCCCGAGGTACTCATTTGTCCTTGCAGAATCAAATTTAGGGGCTTGGTGAATTTCCGAAAACTAACAGCACCATATTGACAGGTCAATTTGCATGAAGAGAGATAGGCATAAGATGGTGTTGTATAACAAGAAGACAAGTTTTGCATTGTGATGCAAAAGGGAAGTTTTTTTTTTTCTTCTTTTAGAAACCTTCCCAAGGGAGAAACCATTATTGAAGTTGAGAGATGTGTAACTTATCACGATCTTTGATAGAACTTTAAGGAATACGATCAAATGATTGATGGGAGAATTTTATATCACTATTTGGGTCATGAAAGGAAGCACCAGTGGCATCTTATGCTTACTAAATAACTTCAATGCACTCTTTTGACAACAAGAAGAGAACTCACTTTTCAGCATCCTGAATTAGCTTCCATCTTAATCATCAGAAAACGTACCTTCCTAGATCTAGTTTGTGCAAGTGCAACATCAAGGTGTTTCTCGAGTTGCACCAGGTCAGGTACACTTAGTTGCTCAAGATCTGAATCTCCAAGATACCTGTGAGAACACAATTGTGCATCACTTTTGTGCACTTTATATAAATATATCAAGAATAGACAGAAAGTTGAAGTAAGTTGCCTTTTAACTATTTGGTGTATCTCAGAGTGCGACAGTAAATTTGCACTTTCAGCGCCATAACTCTGAAGACAAGAAATCAAAGTAGTTTAAAACCGCACACGCTGAATGTATCAAGAAATTTAGTAATGAAGAATACGTTGTTGACTTAATAGAAAATAAATTAGATTGGTTATGATTGATTTTTATTTGATTTTCCGTTATTTATGTATGATTTTATGCACTTAACTAGTTTCATGTTTTGGTTTTGTAATTAGCTTATAAATTGGCTACATTATTATAGACAATTCAGACTGTTATGATTGATGATATTGAATTTCAGAGTTATTCTCCATCTTGAATTTCTTCTCTCTGTTGCAATTCCCTCCTTATTTCTTGCTTTCTCATCTCTCAATTTCTCTCCAACCTCTGTTCCTTTACTTTCCCTCTCTTTCCCCTCTTTTTTCTCCTCTTCCCTCTCTAATCCTACATCAGTTTAGTATCAAAGCCGGTTTTATTCCTTTGGCTAAATCTGGTAAAAAATTTTCCCGTCCAAAATTTTCACTAAAAAAAAGTCAAAATCCACAAACTTTCTCAGTCAAAAAATCCACCAAATTTTTTTTTTTTTTTTTTTTTTTTATAAAAAAAAACACAAATTCCACCAAACTCTCTCTTATCAACAAGAAACACAGAAAACAAAAATGTACACTCTCACCAGGTCATCTGTGGGCCTTGATCCTGTTTGGTAGTACTCCAATTTTTCTTTTTGGAAATATTCTTTCTACAGTCTTATTAGAAGTAGACTCTGTGTGTCCATTTCATTTGCATTTTATTTCGACATCCTTCCATATTTTTTATTATTATTTTTAATTATGACTCTTGGCTTCTGAAGTCGTCATGAATTTTCAAAAATATAATTAACCTCATCACTATAATCATGATCCTCATTATGATCCTCGACCTGTACAATCCCATGATAATTATTTTGAGCCTTGTTATTCTTATTATGTTCAACCTCGATTTCATTATGAGAGGACACATGAGCAAAAAGAAGATTATGTGCGTATAATACATTACACTTCTTATTTTCACACCTTTATTCCATCTATAAACGTTGCAATTACTGTTGTGTCTAAATGATTGGTTACGCGAGTGAATCTTCATGCAAATCCTTACCGTAGAAAATTTGGGGTAAATTGGATAGGCAATGGATTTTTTGAAGATAAGGTGCGCGAAGGCCGCTTGAGGTGGTATGGACATGTCCAATGTAGACCGCTAGAAGCACCAATTCGTGTTTGGGAGGACATTCTTATACCTAATACTAGGAGAAAGAGAAGTAGACTAAGAATTACGTGGACTAAAGTACTTAAAAAAAACATTATAGATCTAGGTCTTCAGGAAAGTCTAATTTCAAATAGAACTGCGTGGAAAAGTGAAATCCATATAGCCGACCCTAATGTACTGTCTTGTACCTCTTCAATTTGGTCCTTTTAGGATATATGTTATTATGTTTATTGTGATGTTCTTCTCATGAACGTTACTCATATTTTGTCAGGACTTCCTCAGGTTCATGATAATGAGGTGAGGTACAAATATGTGGTTAGACATAATGGCAAAACCCTCATGTTGATTCCTGCCAAGCTAAAAGAAAAATCTCCTATACCTAAGACCAATCTTCCTCACAAGTTTTAAGTGAGTTAACTCTTACCTCTAGGTCTCAAGATGATACACCTATTGAGAAGGTTGAAAATAAGAAGGAAGGAAGTTGCAAATGATGAGGTTGTTCAGCCTAAGTCCTTGCCCGAGTCTGTTGCTAATGAATTATTTCTTTTTCAGGTGTTGAAAATTCTCCAATAAATTGCACGATAAAATACCTAATCTTTCTCTTTCTTTTTTTTGGATTTAATGCATATTTACTTGGTTTTTCTTCTAATATGATTGGGGGATTGGTTTTTAATAAGACGGAGTTGTTTAATCAGAAGCCCTGAGTGTTTTTTATGCTTGTTTTGCAGACAGTCTGTTTCTACGGTCAATAATCAAGCTCTTTTGGCTTGATGAAGAATAAGAAGTTGACTTTGAAGAAGGAAAACATAGAAAATAAATTAGACTTACTATGATGATTTTTTATTTGATTTTAAATCCTCCCTCTTGAATTTCTTCTCTCTATAGCAATTCCTTTCTGCCCTATTTCTCTTCTATTTCTCTCAAAATTTCTTCTCAAGTTCTTCTGTAATTCTCTGTATTTCTCTCCCTCTCCCTCTTTCTCTCTCAATTCTCTTCCTTTTTATAAGTTCTGCGTCAGGCTTCTTTTAGCATCAAGTTTTATCATTGAAGAAAGAAAATATATAAATATATTTTAGATTGATTATGATTGATTTTTATTTGAATTTTCCTTATTTATGTATGATTTTATGCATTCAATTAGTTTCCTGTGTGGTTTTGTAATTAGCCTATAAAATGGCTACATTATTATAGATAATTCAGACTATTATGGTTGATGATATTGAATTTTCAGAGTTATTCTCCATCTTGAATTTCTTCTCTCTAAAGCAATTCCCTCCTTATCTCTCTTACTTTCTCATCTCTCAATTTCTCTCTAACATCTTCCCTCTCTTTCTCCTCCTCCATTTAGACTTGGGCGATCTATGCAAAATTTCTAATCAAAACATGGTTTCGAAAACGACTTATACCCACTTACATTTCCACTCTGTATAATATTGTGTGGTTTGGGGGTAAATCCATACGCTTGAATACCTTCTAGTATGATATGATTTCCTTAATTATGAACCATTACCTATTACCTTCTCTAATAATGAGGAATTGCTCAACCTATCTTTGTTTTGGTCATTTTGCCTCAAGGATTAATAGGCAGGGATTTTTTCTGGTGTTCTCTTCTTCTTTTTTATATATATATATATATTTTTTTTCAGAATACTGGTGTTCTCTATTTTTCAACCGTCAGATCTGTATCAGAACTGTCTGTTCTGCATACTTTTTTAATTTGATGTGATTTTGACTAGATCTAACAGCGGTAAAAATAGGAAACACCGGCGTTCTAAAAAAGAAAAGAACACTGGAGAAACTCCTTAATAAGCATTATACAACTCAAAATGATTAAAAATTGAACTCATGAATCTATCTCGAGAAATAGATTGAGGAGCCCCACGCAAAATCCACCTAAAGTTTAGGTGTTCCCTTTCTTTTTCATAGAAAGTAGAAATTTCTAATGTTATATTGCAACTAGGAGTCAACAGATTGCAGTTTGACAAGTCTCCATGAAGTGGGAAGAAAAAACAACTAACCAACCAAACACAATGAGGGGGAAAAAACCGTATTACCAGTACGAAAAAATGAAAAAAAAAAAAAAAGAATCAGAGAGGGGAGAAACAATGTGCAACAAAGAAACAAGCCTCAAACACACACACACACCCGCCACCCCCCCAAAACAAAAAAAAAGAGAAGAAAAAAGGGACAGAAAAAGGCCCTTTATCTAGATATCCTTAAAAGATAGCTCAAAATGTCAAGTACTATCCAAGTGCAGCATAACATGTTCAACAGGCAAGATTCAGAAAGAGTTTGTTTACGAGACGGAATAATTTGTTTCCATAAGTAATAAGCAAATGGGTATTTCCGCTGTTAACTAACTTGTAGGTTTACAGTCTCACTACTGAGAGAGGAAGTACTGGACAAGGCTTAATGTTAAAACTACTAACTCTTGCATCTACAGGAGACTCAACTGGAGTTATTTTGATGTAGGGACGAGATGGAATCTAGAAATATAGAATCAAGAAAAGATAGAAACAGAAGCAGAGGATTTAGGAGAAGAAGTTAAAGGGGAGGAAACTAGGAGGAATGTACAATGAAAATCTCTCTTACTAGTTTTTTTACAAACAATTTGCATACGGTAAAAACATTCCATATATATAAAATGTGCAAGTTCACTATGAAAACGGAGTATTTACTTACAGCTCCATTGTTGATGCAGTTGTCTTCTTCATACCGCTTATTATAACGCTCCAGTACACTGGCCAAACTGAAAACATAGAAACAAGTTAGATGAGTGTTAATGGTGATGACTAGGTATTTACTTACCATACCGAAATACTCGTAACTTCAACAGAAAGTTGATAGAAAAGGCAGGCTAGGACAAATATAGACAATTGCATGAATTCAATTGTTGAGAGAAGGAAAACTGAGAAACAATGGCCACCGTGTTGCTTCACAAGCTATTTACAAAGTTTTTAAGCTTATGGTACTCGCCAGTTGGCTGCGTGAATCCACTTTTTCTGCATGCTTTTACGAAACTAAACTAACATTCGTTATTCTCTCTTTTTTCTAGCTGTTCTGTTCGACAAGCAAGAACCTTTTGAAGCGCCGTAGCTTATGAAACAAAAAATCAATGCTAAGAAGGAATAGAGTATATTCTCGAGGCAGCATATAAAATTTGGACCACCTCATATACTCTGATGGTATTTCATCCTAGAATCTCATGTTGTTTCCGTTAGAAGTTTCAACTCGTCAGAAACTAAATGTGCTCAAGGGTTAAAGATGAAGGATTATTAGTTCTACTGACACATCGGATGCAAAGTAACTCGAGAGGAGAATAAAGCCTTTGGATGTAAATTGCACAATGCAACTAGAATCTTATGGATATTAACTTCGCGGGAGAAAACTAATAGTTGCAGAACTCATAATTTAACCCAACAGCTAAAACAGTAGTACAAAACATTCTCTTGGCACCGAATACGGACAAAAAAAGAGTAGGAACTACAACGACAAGTGGATGACTTATTATTGTCTCCGAAGCAAATATATGTGGATACTCCAATCAATGAAATTGCAGCAAAATTTTCTATCCGTCAACCTCGAGTAAAAGACATGTTAGACCCTATGTAGGATAGAGAATTAAAAAATTTGTGTTTTATTATGATTCTTATCCTATTTGGTTGTTGTTTGTTAGTTTACCAACACATGAATATTTAATAATAAGCCCAAAATGTATTAAAAACCCAACATGTGATGACAACTTAAAAGGGAATAAAGAGTATAATTATAAGGGTATAAACTCTACACCTCCTGCTTTGATACCATTCGAATTTATCAATTCATCTAAAAAACTTAAGCTGGTAGGAGATTGGCTAACAATAGTTTTATATTATATCATTATCTATATTTAGTTTGAGTTTGATTAGGATTTGTCAACAAATTATTGATTGTTTAAGTTTAAGATGTTTATTTATTTAGACTTTTATTTAAACTAGGATTCCTAAATAGGCTAGTATTTATCAGCGTATGAATAAGGCTCTATTTTATAATTCAATTGAGTTTTCGTTATTCATATCAATTTTAGAGCTATTTAGAATATGTTCTACCCGAACTCCTTGAAAGAGCATAAACATAATCTTCTTTTCTATTCATTGTACTGTGGAGAGCAATTAGTGCATTATAATCAAAAGATTTTGTTAAGGTTATAACACATTAATAGTTGCAGAAATCCTTTAAAAGATTTATATCCATGTTGTAACGCTAACAATGTTTTCAGTTGTATTAAAGTTTCTTCTAATGGTCTTGAATAAGTTCTTTGTTCTTCATCATGTATGCAGATCTTAGATCGAAGATCTATTATCTATTTTGTAATGACAAAGTAAGAGTGACACTTCGGGTATGTTTGTACTTGAGTTGTGTATGTGACAGAAAAACACTGCAGTAAAAAGTAAAATTTAAATTTTTGTGAGAGAAAACACTTGGAATAAAATTTAAGTTGTGACTTGAGTTGTGAAAAGAAAAAGGCCTTCTCATGTTAGAAGTCAGTGTTCATGTCATTTGGTTTACCAATTGTGTTGAAATGTTTAACTCGAGCACAGCGCGAATGACCCATTTGTACCTATTTGACACATGATTCCTCTAAGTTACTATGTTGGTCTCTTTTTTAGAGAATCAAAAGTCAAGTTTATCATCACTCAAAGGGTAAAGTGGAAATGCGAGTCTCAATCCCAAATAGTAGTCCTTGAATGCTTCTAGACATTATTAGCAGCAATAGTGTAAGGTAGGTTTTAGGATCGTATGATTTGAGTAGTGACCATGTTGGAATTGGGGTACACGTAGGAATGAGTTCAATGGGTTTTGAGTTGGACGATTTTTGGCCAAATCCCAACCCAAACCAATGTTTGAAAACGCACTTGAAATACGGAAGAGGAGTTATTGAAGAGAAACAGTTCGGATTTGTGGGGTGAAACTGTCATTTCGTGCAGGCGTAGAGAGAAGGATCAAGGTTGTCACGGCGGTTATGCCTTGCATCTCACGACAAGTTGACAATAGTGAGAGCTTGCATCTCAATAATTCTTTAAGCCGTCTTAGAATTGCTCCAATATCATGAGCTTAAGAAGATCATTTGCAAAAGGTAAATAAGTTTAGGTAGTTACCTCATAATAGGATGTTGTGGAAGAGATAAGTTGTTTAAAGAGAGACTTATTCATTCCTAATGGTTTTGTTTCTTTCACAGAATGACAACTCTTGTTCCCCGCCTTTTTAGCTAACACACGTACGGTGGGGAGTAACGAATATGTGAAACATTAATAATGTTGCTAGGAAAACTTGAATGTATTTTGAAACTAAAATAGATATTACCAAGAATAATCCAGTAACTTCCAAATTTTCTTTGAAACTAACTGGATTCATTTTACTTCAGCACATCCCGTAACAGATTTGGTTTGGTTTTGCATTTTTGTTTCATTCTTGTGTTGAAAATGCATCTCCAATTTGCAAACAATGTAGTCATTTTATCATGTTTTAGAGGCACGATATCAATCTTCCTAGGAATACTATTGGTAGAATGTGAAGCTAAAAGTAGAAAAGAATGAGAGAAAACCCCAGACCAATCTAAATGAATAACCCTAGACCAAATCTAAAACAGTACCAAAGGACCCAACTTTACCTAAACCACTCTGCAATCTATCAAGCAGCATTATCAAAGTGAAATCTCGTGGCAATACAAAATAGTAACCTCTGCGTATCTTACTAATGATTTCTTATAAAAACTTTTTGAAACCTCGAAATATAATCTTAAGAGAAATTAAATAATAAAAGGTCGATAAGAATTTTGAAAAGGTACGTTCCCGGCTTCCTAAGCACAACTTGCATCTTTCCAGGTCCAAAATGATTTTTATTCAAAAGAAGCAATTAGATAAATTGTTTATTTTAACTTCATTTTAAAAACTGTGTACTTTGTATAATTGTATATTCTGATTTTGATTATTATCTTGAAGTTGCAATCTTTATGCTTCCGCTCATTAATTATCCTATAGCTTTCGCTGTTTGATTTCGTTAATTTTGATGATGAACATTATCATTGGTAATTTACATATTGTACACTAACCTTTTCAAATTTCTAATTTTGTATCATTATTATAAATTTTACAAGCTTTATACTCTTTATTATTCTTTAGCGGATCGTTGGTTTTTTTTTTATTAATGTTTTATTTTTCTTGAGATTGTGTAATTTTTTAGTTTGAGAGTGAGGGTGGTTTGCTTTTATTTTCATTTATCTTTTTCGAGAGGAGGTAGCATGCTCTAGAGGCCTCCACTCTGTAGTGTTGCATTGCCTCTGTTATGAGGTGGATCTCGGTGGTCTCATGTCGGTGATGGGCGTCTTTGGGTCTGGTGTTCAAGGACCATTAATGGGTTCTTTCTTTCACCGCGCGAATCAAAAGTGTAGTTCATACGGCTCATGACTATTCTCTTAGGAGATGTTAATTCCGCCGTTTGTGTTTATGCTTTAGTTGTGTAATAACGAAAGTTGTCGCCTTATCTTATGGTGGTGGTGGTGGATTTACTCCGTTTAGTTTGATTCTATATATGCAATGTTGTGAGTGACTAATATTTTGTATTTTTTTAGTCTTGGTCGATTGATTATATCCATCGACTAGAGTGATTTTATCAAATGATCTTTTGGCGTTATCGAATATTAATATGTCGAGCAAATCTTTCAATGAGTTTCGATATTCGTGTTTATTTTTACACCTCATTCGTCTTTATTGGTAGGTCTAATCTTTATGTGTAGTCGTTCTTTATAACTCATATCAAAGTATTTAAGATTATTATCGTTAGTGCCTATGAATTTTGAGGTTATTCTCAGTTTGCTCCTAAACTTTGAAAACTCACTTTACTCTCTGAATTTTGAATTAGTCTCATTTAAGCTATTTTATAAGAATTTCTATTAAAATCAAATAAAAAAAAGAGTAAAGTGTGATCATGCGATTTTTATCCGTTTGTTTGTAATAGATTTTCAAATAAAAAAATCATGTGATTGGATTACTCTTTTTTTTTTTAATAGAAATTCTAATAGAATGGGTTAATTGAGAAAAATTCAAAATTCAATAGGTTAAATGAAAGCTTTTAAAGTTCGGAAACAAATTAAGAATGACTTCAAAATTTAGGTGGCATTGTTGATAATAATATGAGCGTAATTGTTGAATGAAAATTTTCCCATTTAAAAAGAAAACTATAAAGATAGTTTATTAATGGAAGTTTTTTTTCTTTTCCACTGTCTAGAAGAGTTTTGAGTTCAAGAAAACGATAGAGTTATGTGCTTTTGACTTCTAAAAAAAATCTAATTGAAACCTATGTCAAAACTTTAAAGATAGGTTATTAATAGATGTTTTATTGTAATATTTTTTTTTTGTGGTCATAATAAAATGATATTTTATCATACTAAACTTTTTAAAATACATTATCTAATATAATAGTACTAGTTACAAATTCACAGAGAAAACTCAAGAAATAAATTAACTCGTATTTAAGTGCTCTCCGTGTCAAACGCCCATGAGACTATTTTCCTGCTTGTGACCATTATGAGGTATGTGAGGTTTCTGTGTGAATGAAGTTTTCTGTTAGTAAAATGGAGTATGTTGTGAATTAATGGAAATCTCTTTCCATTACGGAGGAAGAAGGGGGTCAACAATGATATAGCCGCTCGATCTAGAGAAGCAATAAGTTTTGGCCTTTTGCGGCAAACTGATGACTAGAAGACCCTTC